ATTGCTAAAGACCGAGAGAGGTTAGACTACAAGTACAGGAAGAGTACAAGAATTGGCTATTCATGGTGATCCACACGAGATAGATAATTCCAGAAGATCGGGAGTAGGTGTGAGTGAAGCACATTCCTGTGGATGTTGGAGATTGCAAGAATTAGATTAGCGAATCTAGTGAAATTTGCTATGCTGGATCACATTGTAAGTTCATATTGTCTATAGTGGAGGTTATTGGATTGGTCCGAAGTTTTTACCTAGCTGGGTTTCTCTGTTAACAATATTGGTGTTCTTTATTGCTTTCAGATTTATTGTTTGTGACATTCAAACCATAGGATAAATTGAATGTTTAATTAACCATCTAAAAACAATTAAAAAGTGAATTGTTACTTTTAATTATATAATTTCCCACAAGGTTAAACTTAATCAGTAACCATAGTTTTTTATCTATCATTACTGGTGACCTACCTTCTGGTTGGAAGCATGCTCTTCCTGTGATTCTTGGCTCTTTTGTTATTCTTTATCTTGTCTTTTGAGAGTTCCTTTGTGCAATCTTTGAAATAAAGAGATGCTTGATGTGTGAAGAATTAACGAGTGTAGAATTTACAAATTCTTATTGTTAATTCTGCTATGTTTTCTAACGGAAAAATGTTCCTCTCAAGTTAAATAATTATATAGTTTTTCGTTTGCTATTATATGTTTCTTCCAAGACTTACTGACTTTTAATCTAATTAATTTATTACGCAAGTTCTTGATATCGTGTAAACAAAACTACTATTGCAGTTTTAGGCATAGAAACTTGACATAACTAAATTATTTTGCATGTAGTTCTAGACCATAGGATGAAAGCATGGATTTGATCTATGAAATCATGTAAATTAAGTGAGGGCTGAATCGGTCTCAAGGTCATGAAAGAATTGAAATTTTTGTAACGACCCATCGATCGGATCAAATCTTTACTGAACTTTACAATTGTGTTTCATCAAATGAACTATATCGTATAGGTAAATCATATGAAAATTTACATTTTCAAATTCAATTAATTTTGCTAACCTAATCCAAAGAACAAATTCCTATCAACCCTTAACGCTCTACACACTAATGTTACCTTAAAAAAAATACAGTTCGTGCATTGCACAAGCATGAGACTAGTTACTATAGAAATGGCATCATGTCATCAAGTGAAGGATCTTACCTACATATATGACTGTCCTACATAAATTTTTCTTCTAATAAAAGTAGACACTCTAACAGAGTAATGTAACAAAAATTTAAACTTCTCTATCTCTCTCTCTTCATTTTCTTATTCCCCCTCCCCTGACTATTATTTTTTTCTCTTCTTATTGAATCTACATTAGCAATTAAAATTTGAAAAGCCGTTAAAAATGAAATATAAACTTAACCATCTATTTATTAGATATCAATGTCACATAGATTTTTAAAAAAAAATCTGTTTATATATGAGATACTTAAATGACCATCCATAGAATACATTGAAGAGACTCTTAGTAATTCTCTCATGGCATATGAACTCTGTGCATGACATTTTTAATTATTATCAATCTACCACTTAGGGTCTACTTGGGAGTTTCGGGGTACTAATCATGAACATTTTTTAAAGTATTTTGAGTGATTTTAGTAGAAATTTTTAAAAATTCCAACATATGCTTGAGAGTTTGTTATTCATCGGTTCTAATTTTTTTTTAAAAATAAAAAAAAATTACATATAAGTCTCTTGATGAAATTTTTAGTTTATAGTTTCTTGGATGAATTTTTTTACTCAAGAGTGATATTTTACTTAAAAGTAATTTTTTTACATATAAGTTAATATTTAACTTAAAATTTTAAATAAAGTTAAATATGTATTTAAATTTTTAAGTTCATATTTTTACTTATAAGTAAACCTTACAACTATAAGTTAATTTTTATTTTGTAAATAAGTAATGTTTATAATTTTAACGTAATTTTTTGTTTCTAAATAATTTTTTTTAGTTAATATATTTTTATTTACAGGTTAGATGTGAACAAAATTTATTGGTTGTAATTATTTTATAAAAGGTAAAATTAGAAGAGAGTATGAGAAACTTTTAAACTTATTAATTTGATGGGTTGAGAGAACCGATCAAAATTACACTACCGATTTTGGGTGATTTTTAAATTATCTGAATTTGGTGCTCATAAAAGCTAGTAGGCACTGATTTTCTACCCCTTCATAGATAGTGCCACCCAGAATTGGCGATAAAATTCCAAGAATGCCCTTAGCCACAATTAATTTGGAAAATTATCATAAAAATATCGTCCAATTAAGTACACAGTCTTGATATATGAGTGGCAACAAAATTTGAATAAATTTCCTCATTAGTCTGTTCTAGTTTCATTATTTCATTAAAAAACTTAAATAGTCATAGTTATGAGTATTATATTAAATCAAATTTTCTTAAAATTCACTCCGCTGAAGCAAATTCAAAAGTTGAGATTGGAAATCAACTCGAATGGACTTGAATATTGAAAACTACTTTGAATTGATCAATTTCCGGTGGTTGGATGACTTAAACTGACATTCACACTGGCCAATAATGAAATCCTTTAACTTGTTTTACCCTTCAACACCCTTTTCCACTCTCTCTATCGAAAAAACGTCTGAAGACCTAATTAAAACAGGTTAATTTTCTTAAAAGAAAAAAAAAAAAATTAAACCCCCTTTCCCCCTCTCTTATCGAAAAAACGTTTGAAAACCTAATTAAAAAAGGTTAATTTTCTTAAAAGAAAAAAAAAAAAACCACTTCATATTTTAATTGGATCATTAAAAGGTCTTTTCATGACAATATTCTTCTTGTCAACATAATTTCATCTTTCTTGACTCGAAAACTTCATTGGTATTTGTTACAGTAAAAAATTGACTTGTTAGTTGTCTTATTTTCTTCTTTGACAATTCATACAATAAGGAGTGCATGATATTTCTTCATATCCTCTTCGATGCCTAAGACAACATCAACATATAACAATAGAAAACGAGAGAACTTAATTTACAAGATCATATTTCTTAGTACCAGATAATCACGTAGATGACTTTATTTATAGTTGTCAAGTACTGCGATAGAGTTCTATTCGAATGAAAATTGATAAAGGTGTTATACATTTTCCAACAAAGACCAAAACTCGTGCCATGTGGCAGGCGGATCCACGAAGGTGACCTTCATTAAACACACCACACGCACAAAGTTAAACAACTTATTTCAAATGCTAAGCATCCAAGCAATTAGGCCTTTTTAAGGACAACTATACACATTTTCAACTGTTAGATTTCGAAGATCTTGGCCGCCTACATTGCGGTCGCATCCACACCATTCGTTATATCCGACGCTCCAACTTCTACGGACCAGATCATTACATGTGTTTGACGGTATACTTTGAAAATAAAACACCCTTCTTTGGGAATACCAAGCGACAGCATAGCAATTAGTGGTAATAAATGCCAATAACGTTCATATTACCCAAGCAGGCTCGCCTCTCCCAATGGCATCGCCTCTTCCCTTTGAAACCTCATTAGGGCTTCCACCCAGTACAGCAGGCTCGTCTCTAACCAAAGCATTGCCCCGTCAGTTAAACCCCAGCAAACCCTCTCTAATTAAATGCTTTCTCCCGCTCTTCAAGTTCACGTACTAAACAAATATTCATACATGGACTTCGGGGACTAGTGTTATATAGATGCTCTTTTTTCTTTTTCCTTTCTCCTAACCTTCAAGTCCACGCACTATATAAATAACCATACATGGACTTTGGGGACTATTATTATACAGTGTTCTTTTTCTTTTTTCCTTTCTCGTAACCTTCAAGTCCACACACTATATAAATAACTATATATGGACTTTGGGGAATATTGTTATACATTTTCCAACAAAGACCTAAACTCGTGCCATGTGGGAAGTGGACCCACAAAGGCGATCGTGTGAGATATTCTTGTAGCCAAAACCCTAGGGATGAGCTTCTTATGATCGAATCCGTGTTCTATCCAACCTCATAACAGTCGAACTCTTAAGACTGAACCATCACGCAGGAGCCCCAATAGAAGGGGCGATGCTAAGAAAGATTAATTGATAGAAGATCCTTTATATCAAATCTAGTAACGCGACTGATTTGACTACTCCTTGACATCGTCGCCACAACCAACCTATTTGATTGAATCTATGGCCGTAGGCAATAAGTTATGAAAGGCAAGTTGATATTACCATTTAAATCTTATGATTGATTGATTCTCATGATGGGAAGTTATGCCCACATGGATGAGGCCACGTATCTTCTCATCTGACGGTCATCCCTCACTATCTCATATTATAAAAGCTCACACTTAGTGTCATTGAAAGGTAATGCAAGTTTAGGCTCTAATACCTTATAACTTTGCTCTATATTCATGATTTTCCCTGAAACTGCGCCCTGTTTTTTATATTGGGACTCACGTTAAGGCCCTCCCACACTTAATACACTACTTCCCCGATTGACTTGATTGTTAGAGTACGTGCGGTCGGCTCCACCCCACCGGAGAAGGTCACGTGTGTCTAACGGCTTGTCCTAGCTAGTGTGCAGGTATAGGTTTGTTTGAACATGTGAGGTTTCGGGAGGTATTTTTTTTAGGTCAACAAAAGGCTTTATGAATTAGATGGCATAATTTTCATCTTAATAACAAGAGAATAATGCTATTTAATTTATTACTTTGTCACATGCACTAATACTGTTACCTACCATTATTCTCACAAAACTCAAATTCTTGTAGCACCACCACCTGCAATATTTTCCAAGAAGGGAGAGCTCATTATTGTACAATTAAATTGGTCAATGCTCGAGAAATAATACTCGGTTTAATTATGGAAGTGGGGTCTTTGATGTTAGAACTTAGAAGTGGGAGTAAACCTAATTTTTGTCCCTTTGTGCCGACTATCCCGTCAGAGAAATGAACGTCGAATTGCCCTGTACGAGTAGCAGACCAGATTAAAAATTTACTTGAAACTGAATGTGAGAAAAGAGCAAATCCATTCCATGGACGATAATCAATTATTTGCTTCTTTATTAATAAAGGATACATTAATTTTACTTGTACACTCTCCATTTCTTCATTTTTGGATCTTTTACAACTTTTTAATCATACCAATCCTTGTTCACTTGTTCCCAGTCCCATAAGGATCCATCGCCAGTAGCCATAATATTATCCCAGTTGTTATCAGAATTAGCAGCATGGTCTTCTGAGGGGGAAATGTTACCCGAAAAAATATCTGATACTGTCGTCGTTCCCTCGTTATTATGATCATGCTGGTGGTGCATCACGGGCTGACCACCTTCTGCCGCCTGTGATGGCCGCCTGTCAAATGACCTTATGCATTTTGATTGTTTGTAGACTCGGCATAAAGTGAATTCTTCACTTATCTGCATGAAACGATAATTTTGTTAAAAAGAAGTAATTCAAATCTTTACGTTTCGTATATTTATTTGAAGTCAATTTACTCTTGACACCACGAGAGAAATAGTTGATGTACAAAGAAACCATATCTTATAGGATAAATCCCCTTGAACAACCCCTTGAACGTCCAGGGGTAATGTGGCTTCCCCTATTGGGGGGTGCCTGTGGGATGTCCAGGGAATTGTTCAAGAAGCAGCCCTCTATCTTATACATGATCTGCATATAGGGAATGAAAGAAAACAAAAAACCCTATGCAAATAGGGAGTAATATTAGGGTGGGCTAACCCTATAAATGGGGAACAATTTAGGGTTTAGCCCACTCTTCCAATCCCCTAATTTTTTACTTTAATTTTGTTTTTGTCCCTAACATGTATAGCTATATTATACATGAATTCTTGAGATTTGCTGATTTTAACGTATATGGAGATAAAAATGGATTCTTTCCTCTTCCCATTCTGATTCTCTTTTGCGCTTAGTTCATTGAACATGCATGATTGTCTCCCAGAAAGGCAGTTATCAAATACACATTGAACCATAAGTTCAAGCCTCTTTTGGGAAGAATATATAAAATAAATAGATATGAACGGTGTATAAATAGATATTACTTGTAGATCCATCAAAATATATAATTGAAAATGAAGTTTAATGATAAATTATAAATCATTAATAAATTAGTCACAGCTTTACTTTCCACTTCTAGTTTTCAGCACACAATTTACACTCATTTTCATAGTTTTGCTAGTAAAAATATCAATTTCAATTAAGATTTCACTTTGAAGCCATGATTCATCCTAAATCTTTAGTGCTTGTTCAGAATAGCTTTAAGAGTTCCTGAAAATTGAAATCAAAGTCAACAACTAATTTTAACAAAATACCATCCAGATCCACAATTTTTATCAATCTTCAATCATACATATTTCACAAACTTTTAATAAAATCTGCTAAAAACTTTTATTAAAAAAAAATTTAAACATTACCCAATGTTTTTATTAGAAGCAAGGTATATATTACATATAAATACTATTTAAATTTTTATTTTTAATTAGAAGAAAGGAATATAATACATATACATATTGGGAGTGAAACACACACCTGTGGCTGTATAGATGATGAAGCTTCACCTAATTCAATGGCTTTATACTCATTCATCTTCCATGAAGTCTTTGTTCCATTAGGAGCTCTTCCTACATAGAAAACCATTGTTCTCTTCCTACCGATAATGGTTCCATTTGACGAGTACACGTCTCCCGGAGAGCCGGTGGCTTTCCAATATCCTTCCATCGTAAGCCGATTAGGTCTTCCTCCTCGTGCTTCCCTTTCTTGCTTTGGAAAGAAGAAAAACCACTGCTCGGGGTCTCCTCGACAAAGCTCTCCAGCATATTCTATGGATTTTCCAAAACCCAACAATATTTAGAAAGAAGACAAATCATGCAAAAACAAGAGAAAAAAAAGTGAATATGCATTACGTGGGAGATCCCATGGACTGTAATCATAAATGTGAACAACTGGTATAACCATGTCCAGTTCTTGCCCTTTGCCTTGTATCTTCTTAAGCAGATAGAAAGAGATTAGTTCTTCTTCTGTAGGATAGAACCTAAAACCCGGTAGAAGATTTTCACTCATATTATTGAAATTTACTACTACTACAACTCTCCCTGATCTCTCCCTATATATATAACATTATATATCTTTCTTCTTTTCATCTCATTTCCGTGCTGATTCCTAGTGATAATTGCAGAAACGTGGTGTATTTTACGCGTCGAAGGTCAGGAAATATATTTAAAGTCTAAAGATAGATTCTTTGCTGGGTTTTTGCAATGAGAAGGCATTGAAGCAGGAGACAACCGAGTGAAACGGGAAAAAGTGAAAGGGACGGGGATTGGTCTAAGTGCGTTCTTGGAAACTTCCACATGAATACCAGGAATTTTGAAAGATGCTATCTAGCATTCACAAATGAATTAGAAGTAAGTCAAATTAGACGTAGACTCATGTGGCTCCCTTTTGATGGAGGATTAAAATAATATTTTTAATAGATTTTGATAAAAATTGATTAAATGTATGATTGAAAAGTTGTGAATCCCATAAAATATGTGATTAAAATTGATTATTGACTTTAATTTAAAATAAAATCACTATAAAGCTGTTGCGAATTTACTTAATCATGCATAATAAAATTTAAACAAAATTTTAATTTTCACCAAGAATTTGCTTTGTGTTAGATAGAAATTATACATTTATTTAATTCTGTAAACTCCTTTACTTTTCTTGAACTCAAACCATCAGATCTGCAATCCACAACTGTTTAATTGTCCAGTCTCCAATGAAAATCTACACAGAAAACAAGATTGTGAGAACTAAGATTTTTACTTTTCCTGTGATAGCAAAAATATGAATTGTATTCTTTATAGTTTTTTAGACCCTAGCAGCTTATTAATATGAGTCCAAACGGGCTTGACCCATCCCATAAATTTTACTCGGTCTGATATTTAATCAATCCAATTAATTAAATTTGGTCCATCAATTAATTAGCCTAATACTTGTTAATTAATTAATTGGTAAATCTCATTTTTCTAGTTTTCCTTTAGTGTGTCACTCATTAGGTTCCTAATCACGATGCATAACGACATGAATTAAATTTTTGATCTAATCAAAATCGATAAATTAAAACACACCTTTTCATTTATCATTAATTCACATCCGTCGTCCTAGATTGATATCTAACAATGTGTCAAGGCAATACATGTGACGGAAAATGTCACGTGGTACGACAAAATTTGTTCGTTTACCTTGAAATTATAATCCCTTTATTAATATGATCCAATCAATTACGAGATATGGAAGCGCGTCAATTTTGATTATCGATATCTTTCATTTCACTATTAAGTAAATATAAGTTGAAAACTCCTTTTTCACTTATGAATGTGCATTGGTCAAGGATTTCATTATCAACTTAACTAAATAAAATGTAGACTATAATCTCTTACTATATAAGAGTGACGAATTTTCTATTGATCATTTATAACTTTCATATGATTTTTGACATACCCGAATGATATCGTATTAGCGGTCGTGGCAGAGCAACATTCAATATCATCAAAGTACGACTATCCTCATATAAGGCACTATCTTTAGAATCGTGAGCTATTTTCAATTTTAATTGAAAAGAGATATCAAGTAATTATTTGATGATTTTGTCATCCAACTTTTATGATCCTAACTAAATTGACGGTTTTGATTGTGTGATGTGCCACATTTATGAATTTACATATATTGAGAACCTAGTTACTCATATTTAGAGCATGAAGATCCGTAACCATGCTCATAAAAAAAAAGCATGAGAATCCAACTGATAAATACATAACTTTAATTATGAACCGCTTGTGGAGATTTGATCTATATGAAATGACTATATCGGTGGACAATTCAAATCTCTTGAATATAATCTGTTTTATAATTTCAAGAGTGCAATTTCAAATTTTTAGTGGAGTAATTTGGGATAAATAATTTTGACTTGTTAATTAAAGTCTTAATTGATTGTCGTTATTATTGAAGCTTAAAATTATAATATCCATGGTTCCTCTCGTCGGCTATGTTAAAATAACATGAACATTATTTTATTTGGGTTAGATTATTTAATTGGAATAATTTTATTTTAAACAATATGATTATTTAAATTAATTTGAAATTATACATTGTGATAATGATCATAGTATTATCTACAAACATGGAGTGTCCATGTGGTATTTAAATTCAATCACTTGAAAAGTTAATTAGGCCCTGTTTGATTTGTTCCATTTTCCACATTTTTCGTTGTTCAATTGCAAAATTTTTCCCGGCAATTTGTTTTCCTCCTCCCCCTCATGCGAGTGATATTCTTTGGTTATTTGGAAAATCAATTCCCATGGTTTTGGTGGGAAATGGGCTTTCCAGCTCTCTCTTTTTTTATTTTCGGCAATGAAAACAAATTATATCCCTTTAATTGATAATTTTCATGAAAAATAAAGTCAAACAAACACCAAAAAATACAAAATTTCAACATTTTCTAGGTGAAAAATTATATCTATCGAACATATTTAATTGACAATTCCAAGTACAATAAGTAGCAATTCAATTTTCTGAAATTCTTTTTTTTCCACCCAAATTACATTTTTACAATCAAACAACCCTTATTTTAACTTAATTTTGAATTGTTCAAAATTTAGCTATCTGATAAAAGGATATGGGAGAGAGATATTTTCTTCCAATAAAGTGGCACCACCACCTCCTAGTATTGGGATAGTTTTGATTTTTTTGGTTAAATTGTTAATTAAAGAATTAAATAAAGTTATATTTACCAGCTATAGATAGGACTAATCAGATACTCAAAAGGAGATAAAGATTTACGTGAAATACTTTTCTAAGTGTTCTTCTTCTTTTTCTTTTTTCCCTCACTTTATCTCATGTGTTGATAACACAAAGTGAACCATAAAGTGAGCATGTGAATCAAACTCAAATCTAAAATTCTTACACGTCAGTTCCTTGTAATTAGAAATACGTCAATAAAGAATTGTGGAGCTTTTGAAAGTTTGATGGTTATAAAGGAGGAGTTCAAAATTACATCCTAGACGATTGTTGAATATAATTCTCATATCTTCCCTAATGAAATGTTGATTAAGTGAATATATGTATTGTTTGACTAAAAAGAATTTTTTTTCCTTTTTATACGATGTGATTGTTCGTGTTTCAGCTTATTTTTCTTAAAAATGATTTTCAAAAACAACAATTGGTATTAGAGACAATTCTACATCATATTAATTTAATTATTGATTATGTGATAATCAAGGTACGGTGTAGGCACAATAGCATATATTTGGTTATTATTTTTCATTTGATGAATTGTTTGGCTAATGAATTGGTCGTTATTTATATGGTTACATGGATTAGATTGTATTTTTTCAATTCCTGGATCAATTGTAATTTAGGCTTTTGATGTAATTTTCGTTTTTTTTTTATTTTAATGAATTTTAAGTAATTATGGAAAAGTTCATTTAAAAAAATGGTAGGTAGTCGACGTCTGTACTATCATCAACGATGGCTGTCCGGCAGCGGCAGTCGATGGTGGGTGGAGCGGAGGCAAAAAGGAGGGGGAAAAAAATAAAATTGCCCCAACTAGGTTTTGAACCATGACCCCAAGGTTCAATTCTTTTGTAATTTATTTTACGTGTTGTAATTGTTAGGTCAATGGAACCCAACCAAGATTTTTCTATTTTGCTTATGTTTAATGTATGTCTTTATTAATTATTACTGTTGACCCCAAAAAATGTTGTCAACAGATATTGGACCCACCCATACATACGTAAGCCTAATCCAACACGCTAAGACATATGGGCAGTCTCAAATGGACTGATCAAGAACGTGGGAGCAGCTCAACAATGTGGGACAAGAACGTTTGGAATCCCGCGAGATGTTTGTATAACGATTGTACAATAATTATCAATCGATATTTGTAGAATGAAAGTATGAATTCTTATAGTATTGTATTGCAAGATGGTAAACATGTTGTTTAATAAAGTGTGTTAAGAGAGTAAAGAATATGTAATCTTGGTTCTTGTATTTAATCTTGCATTTTTCTTGTGAGAGATGTATGGAGGAGTATTTATAGTTTTAGAAGTTAGATTGTGGCCCTCGATTAGGAGTACACGTGGCCTTATCTCGTAAGTTTACATGTCAAATTATAAACATCACTCTTGATTTCCTAACTTGCTACACATTTATTAATCGGCAGCTTCGTCGCTACTTTAACAAGACAAGACGCTTGTACTCTATAATAGGAATCACATCAATCAATCAGGAATGATCCTTATGTAAGACTGGATCTCTGGAAAGGAATACTGCTTAGGGCGTCTGGGCCTCGGTATGATGGGCCTTGGCGAAACAAACCACCTTAGCCTATTAACTTCGACGTCAACGTTTGGGCCACGTCATGGGTGTTGTCTCGGTATGTTGGTTGACTTCTATTGGCCTGGGAGCCTCGGCTAGGATGTCACGTGGTTCGGCATGAATGGGCCATGAGCCCCAGTGGGTCGGCCAAGTGTGTCAACATGTAACAATAGTCCCTTAAATTCAAGTATGATCATTTATATAATGTGTGGACTTTAATGTGGTGGAGCCAGTGTGTTGGGTAATAATTGAAAAAAAAAAAAATTGTACCCTAAATAATTACATTGATAATCTTCACATGCATATAACATGCCATATAGATTATTATTGTTCCTACACATTTAAATTTTAACGTATCATATGCATATTATTTATTTTCTAAAAATATTTAAGTTATTTTATTCATGCACATAAGATTGAATTAAATGAGATTAAATTTGTTAAATGGATCTAAGTTAAAATATTGGGCATCGTATAATTAAGAGTTAATTTTATCAAAACCCAATATTTCCAAATTAGATTTAAAAATTGAAGAACTTTAAATAATTAAGAATAAATTCTTAGTTATTCATAATTTGAAAGGATCAATCAACCAAACTAGACTTGATATGGAGAGGTCCTGTCCATAAAAAATGGGTTTTCAGTGGGATTGTTGTGACCCTTTCAACTTACCTAGGAACCGAATATTTTGACTAGGCAGTTTATTTGATGAGTCTCTCCTGAAAAAAATCCATTGAATGTCGAAATGGTGAAATTGATTCTACACAACTTAGATTATATAAATATAGGATATTTTAAAATACACCTTAACTTTTTTATTGAGTGAAAAAGGGTAATATGACAATATAGGCCCTAGGTCTCTGCCATTAGA